TTTTTGGTTGCCATTTTGGTGGTGGTGGGTTTGGGTTGAGATGGTGATTGTGTGGGATTGAGGAGATTGTTTTGAAAGGGGGATGTAGGTGTTGTTGAGAGTTGGGTAGAGGGGCTGTGCGGTCGAGTCTCTTTGTTCGCGACCGAAGTGGCTTTTGTTATTGGAAACTTGGAATGTGTGTGAATGGCACAAGGAGGCTGAGCGATGACCAGATGTTTTAGTGAATTCGAGAAAAGTAAGGGAAGTTCGGATGCGCTATGTGTCTTGAGTCGTCGTAATCGGCGGCGATGTTTTATAAATTCTGAGCCGAGGTTTCCTGATTCGCGGGTTCTGGTAGTCAAGGAGAGAGAGAGGAAAGGAGGAGGGTATTAGAACGAGTAGGGAGAAGGAGAATTAGCTGAGAGAAAATGGCGACGGAGAAGAAGTTTGTAAAGGAATTGAGTAGGAAAGAAAAGGGAAGTTTGTCTTGTAGTTAGAGTAGTTGTCTTCGGGCGTCGGATCTTCGGTTCTCCCATTATTCAAACACTAGTTGTCGGAAGCGTGGCGCAGAGCTCCAGGGGTTCAGTTTGACCCGTGGACCCCTTGGTATGCTTACCTGTATCACATGATGCCGTCTTGGACTTACATGGCACTTTTCCGCTTTAAACACCTTGTTTGCTTGATGGAGGATGAATAGATATCAGGATGGTTTACTGAGAGATTCTAAGACTTTGATGGCCAAAAGTCCAGGTTCCTGCTTATCTAGTCCCCGCATCCGCATCGGGCCGGCAGTCTAAGACTCGAAGGTTGACGGGACATGCAGGACGCCCGTCATATGTGCTTCTAGTCTTGTCTTCGCAGATACTTGTACCTGGACCCAATCTTTTAGGCTGTTTTCAAAAAGGCTCTGCAAAGGATATCTACCTTTTACTTGATATTCCACAAAAGCATATTTTCAATAGACCGAGTAAACAATGTATTGCTACGTAATCCTTGGTAGACATACAGCTCTTCCCCAACCTCCCTATATGAACTCGGCTATTGACAGGCCCATTGTAAGCAGAGAGGGGTATGCAAGAACCCACCCATTGTTTACCTCCACATAAACCCACTTCAGCGCAGCAAATCAAGGATTGCCGCCCCCAGATATCGATCCCGAGGTGATCACAAATACCATAGCAGGGGCTGTGATGACTTCAGTGACATAACGAAGAATAAATGTATACGATACGATGCGATAACACTCATCCCATCGCAGTCACCCTCTTCCTTGACTAGTCACTCTCACCGACCTTCTCAAATCTAGTCATCTAAAATTCTCCGTCACTCGTTCACAATTAAATCTGATTTCTCCACCATAGACCACGAATACACTCCCTCCCTGGATGATACCTGCTCACACCGAGGCATCTGTTGTTATCGCAACAATCTGATCACTCTCACTCTCACTCTCACTCCCTCCTCCTCACCTGCGGCTGAGCGTGGACAGATAAACAAGGCCAGCACTTCAACTACCTACACCAACCTGAGACATACATCACCTCTCTCATCGCATCACAATCGCATGCTGCATCGCTAGTACCACCATCACCTCGCCTGGCGCAACAAAATCCACCCCTCCTCACGACTCCTCGCAGTCGCAATGGCCCCCCTCTCTCTCCCCTCTATTTTCACAACGCGCATAACCTCCCTCCACGCGCGCAATCCCCATCCACTACCTATACCAACCAAAACCACAAAGTCCCTCTGGTCGCGCATACTACATGTCCGACTGGTGACGACGCCTGATCCGAGTATCATCCCCACCACATACGGGAGTATAAACTCGAGTCTTTCCCCGGGCGTAATCGTAGGAATTGTCCTTGGTTCCGTGGGCGGTTTCCTGTTGTTACTTTGGTTGCTATATACTTGTTTGAGTCTGGGCAGGATGGGGACGACGGCGTATACGGAGGAGGTGGTTGTTGCGAGACCGCCTAGGAGGAAAAGTCATAGGGGGAGTAGAGCGAGTAGGAGGGTTACTGAGGTATGTTTCTATTTACCACACCTCTTTTCTTTCCCATTAATTCATTTGGCTCTTTAATCTCACAGCGCCATATCCGCAACACCACCTCCCAGATTTATATACTAACATCCCAAAGACAGTAGAAGTCCGCCGCGACCGCACCCCCGTGCGCATCGTCCGCGAACCCACACCCCCTCCCCCTCGATCTCCCCCTCGAACCTCAAGACGCGAGACCATAATCGTAGAAGAGCGCCGGGAGGAAAGGCGGGCGCCGAGTAGGGCCCCAAGTCGCAGAGGCAGCGACGAGGTCGTAGTAATCGAGGAACACAGTCCCCCGCGACGAAAAAAGAGTCACAGGAGTCGAGACCGGGACCGAGGAAGTCGACCGCCGCCCGAGGTCGAGAGTGGGTTTCGGACGGTGGATCCCTCGGGCTTTGGGGGTGTGGTGGGGGGGAATAGGAGGAGTGGGAGTAGGAGGAGGTATGGATGATTTGTTATGATGGTTTAATGTTTTCCGGGGGGGGGGCTTTTTGTGTGGTGGTGGTGGTGTTTATTGTTTCTCTTGCGGTGTTTTTTTGCTTGGGTGGGTGGGTAATGGGAGTATGCGTAATGAGAGTGTGGGTTTGAAAGGGTGAAAGGATGGATTAAGGGATTACAGCTACCCAGAAGCACATACCCCATGACGGATGAAATAATGATGGGTATGAATGGGTACGAACATATAGGCATGGATGTTCGAACTCGGACATACGGGTTCCTGGGAAGGGATACAAGTATATGGATGTAGAAAGGCAATTACTGTATGGCCTTTTTTTTGTATATGATATCCTGTTTTTTCTTCTTTTCTCTTCTTCTTTCGATTGCAGATATTTTAGCTAGTTAGTCCACTATTGGCAGCAGTCAATCTTCAACGTTCCATCGTCGACGTTGCGGAATGGATGTAAATAGGCTGGTGCGTGGAGTGTACTGTAGTTGCGTGGTTGATCTATTAGATAGATGGCGGTGGAATTTATATTAATATCGATATATATTAAAAACTCAGAGTGAAGTAGAAGTTTGAAATGGGAGTTTATGGGGGGTTGATGGTGGATTTGTTAGAAGTGGTAGAGTATTTTTTACAGAGGTTTGTTGTGAAAAGAGTGTGTATGTAGGGAGGGTACCCAATGGGAGCGGACCTATTCATTGAATCTAGTTTCAACTTTCTCTTCTTCCTAGGGAGTTGGGAATGATGTCAGAAGAATAAAACAAGAAAGTGTGGAAAAGTAGAAACCTGTTTGGCAGTGGGATAATGGCCAGTGCTAAGCAGGGACTTTGGTCAGTGCTTAACGAGGACTTTGGTCAGTGCTTAACGAGGACTTTGGTCAGTGCTTAACGAGGACTTTGGTCAGTGCTTAGCGAGGGCATGGCCCGAGCCTCCATCATGGGTTCCAACCCTCACAATAGGTATAACGTGGTTTATCAGCGAGTCGATCATATCACCGAGTCGATCACTTCTTCTTGGCACAGAACTTTACACCTAAATAAATCAACCACAATATATTAAATTAATTATCGCTCTCTATATCTGACGAACTAGATATATCTATAACTTCTTGACAAGTTCGCGCGTTATGACCAGCTTTTCCACAAGTTCTACAGCGCCGCCTAGAAGGTTGCCCCTCCTTATAACCAACCCCCGCCTCACGCATGTCGCGTCGTACTTGCTCATCTACATCCTCCTGAGCTAACATATCCTGTACATCCTCTACTATAAGTGCCCCTCCTTGGCGGACACGAGTCTTTTTAGCCCTACGGCGTTTACTTAGGGCTTCATTTGCAGCGCGAAGGGTACGGACCTCAGCAGACAAAAGGGTCATCTCATGTGCCATTCGCTCTGTACCCTTTGCTAACGCAGCAACTGTTTGAAAAAGTGGAGTTGGCGAGCTTCCTTGATGACAGGCTATACGATTTCGTACAAGAGTTGATTGTGAAAGGGCTTCAGTTGGGTTGGAAGGGGTCTGGGACACCCAGGGGAGGGAGTTGGCACTACACGTCCGAGGGGGAGTTGGAGTCCGTAACCTTACGTCAAGCTTTGAAAGCACTGCTTGCGGGTTAAATGGTACTAGGCCAGCTCCGCGGAATCCAGACTGACAGTTTAGGACTGTCATTGTTTCCTTGTATGCTGCTGTAAAGGCTAGAAAGAACTCAACCTTTGTAATATGGTTGATATGGGCCTTGATAAACGTCTCAATCTGCCGACCATACGCTCGTTTTAACACACTATAGCACCCAACATCAAGTGGCTGGGTTAGATGGGATGAATGAGGAGGTAGTCCAAGAGTAATAATGTTGTGTTTCGTACAGTAGTCTTGGAACTCAGCCGATTCATGACTCTCGTGCCCATCCAAAACTAGTATTCGATACAGACCCTTTGCACGAGCTGTAGTGTGTTTATCAAAGTGCTTTAACCATTCCAGGCCTGTTTCATTATTTGTCCAACCATTGCTTGTCGGTTTCATAACCCAGTTAGGTGGGAGGCCGCCGTCGGTATACCAGTTGGAGAGATGGTTCTTGCCCTGAACTACCAAGAATGGAGGAATACTCCAGCCCTCCCCATTAATACAGGCAATTGCTGTAGCCCATTCCCGATTGCCTGGCTGAACTGCCTTGCCTCTACCACGTCGGTCTGCACGAGTAACAACCATTCTAGGACAAATAACACCCATCATAAAGCCTGTCTCGTCGAAGTTGTAGAAGTCGGAGTCTGTAACCCCATATTTCGCCCTCATATTCTCTACTAGCCGGAACCATGCGCCTAGCACGTCAGGATCTTCGCATAAGGCCCTCTGGAAGTCGTAAACGCGATTAAAACGCGTCTTAAGGTCTGGTTGTCGTTGTACGAATCGATGGGCCCAGAGCTTGCCGACGCGTCTTCCCCCCCGCGATTCAAGGATAAAATTAGCCATATCTTCTACACCAGCGAGCCGGGGCGCAAATCCTCTGGAATCCATATCCAGTATATACCGAATAATCACTTCCTCTTCTAACTCAGTCAACTTATGACAATTGGCTTGAGAATCTGGGCGGTAGGTTCGGCCAGCCATTCTGTCGGAAAGAGTCGTATATGGTACATTGTAGATCTTTGCCGCAGAGCGTTTGCTTAGTTTTTTGGACGACCGAATAGCCTCGATAGCTAGAGTAATTCGCGCTTCTTGAGTTTGAATTTCCATGGTAAATAGTTGAAGAAAACGTGTGTTGAAGTTTGAGGAGGTAGTGCCAAGGAAAAGTGATCGACTCGGTGATATGATCGACTCGCTGATAAACCACGTTATAATATTATTAGCTATACTATTACAAGTTCTTTTATCCTCCCTATATACCCCTTACGAATAGCTAGCTAAGTTTTATTAAAGGGTTTTATATATTATCTACCAATAGTTCTTATCGATTTATACTTCTTTATCTATCTAGCCGAAGTTATTGCCTTACTATATAATATAGTCGAAGTCTAAGTGCTTAGTATATACCTTTTAGAATTTTATATTCTTTCTTTTATAGGCTATATATTTCTTTATAAGCTACAAGCTTATTTTTTAGATAGTTTCTCTACTCCTATATAAGGACGCGAAACTAAGGATACTAGTACTTCGCTTCCTATTGTAACGAATACTCAAACTGGCTAACTAAACTTGGCTGGGTGCTCGCTGGTTGGTATGCTATGATAAGAAGAAGACTATCGGGTTGTTCACTTGGAAGTGAACTCGTTACTTGTATCAAAGATGTCAAANTAATTAGGTAGGTGTAAAAAGAAAAATAACAAACATGAAAACAATAAACCTGAAGAGTATCCGGTCCCCTAAAGTCATTCACAACGTCACATAAGTAAGCTCTAGACAACTAAAGATTACTAGTATATTTTCTAAAAAAGATAGTTATTATTAAAGTATATAGAAATAGATTCGAATTTACCTTATATTTCTACTAAACTAGAGGCTAATATACAATAGTATTTAGTATCAGTTTAGAGATTACCTAAACGTTCTATAGAAGATAAGTTATATTAGAGTTCTAAGCGGAATTTGTTAGAAATAATAAAGTGTCCTAATTAGGTAGGTGTAAAAAGAAAAATAACAAACATGAAAACAATAAACCTGAAGAGTATCCGGTCCCCTAAAGTCATTCACAACGTCACATAAGTAAGCTCTAGACAACTAAAGATTACTAGTATATTTTCTAAAAAAGATAGTTATTATTAAAGTATATAGAAATAGATTCGAATTTACCTTATATTTCTACTAAACTAGAGGCTAATATACAATAGTATTTAGTATCAGTTTAGAGATTACCTAAACGTTCTATAGAAGATAAGTTATATTAGAGTTCTAAGCGGAATTTGTTAGAAATAATAAAGTGTCCTAATTAGGTAGGTGTAAAAAGAAAAATAACAAACATGAAAACAATAAACCTGAAGAGTATCCGGTCCCCTAAAGTCATTCACAACGTCACATAAGTAAGCTCTAGACAACTAAAGATTACTAGTATATTTTCTAAAAAAGATAGTTATTATTAAAGTATATAGAAATAGATTCGAATTTACCTTATATTTCTACTAAACTAGAGGCTAATATACAATAGTATTTAGTATCAGTTTAGAGATTACCTAAACGTTCTATAGAAGATAAGTTATATTAGAGTTCTAAGCGGAATTTGTTAGAAATAATAAAGTGTCCTAATTAGGTAGGTGTAAAAAGAAAAATAACAAACATGAAAACAATAAACCTGAAGAGTATCCGGTCCCCTAAAGTCATTCACAACAAGTATTCTGCAACTAGTTCAAAGCCTCTAAGTATGAAGTAAATGGGACGGAAGTGTATAAGAGCCTAATGAACATTTGGTTTGTTCAGTCCAAGATAGCACGGTGGCAGTGCTAGGCAGCAAGTGATGAATTACTGCCGTTAGCATTTTTTTTGGCACTTTCTACAAGAGGAATTAATGTTGACACTCTGTTTGGGCGGGCGAGAAACCAGTTCTTGCGTCCAAGGCTGCATGGTTGGCGGGAGTATGCATGTTGCCGTTGGTTGACTCGGTGACTCGATATCAAACAAGATATTGCTTTTGTTGCAGAGATGTGGGGGCCTTCAAAAACAGAGCGAGATGGATGTGCAAGTCAATCGACACCGGGAGCATAGAAGTAGAAATATATGGGATATGTGATGCGTTCGCAATGCAGTCTGGGAAACCAGAGAAGTGAAAACTGTTGACTCGATCACTTTAGGGAGGCTGTGAAGTTATGAGGAGCCTTGCGAAGAGCTGAGGCTGCAAATTCACTGCCAACGGCCATTGACGGGAAACGGTTGGAGGCCAATGGGCGGTTGGGGGATTTAGGCGGGTTCACATGGGCCACATAAGAACCACCCCCCTCCGTTGAGGAGCTTCTCCTCTCTCCTCCCCACAACACCACGTCTTTCGCAAAACATCAACCCAAACAACCCCTCACAACACACTCACCCATCAATCTGTAAGTGGCACTTTCATTTTTTCTTCCCAATGAGATCACCGAGTCCCATCTTTGAGGTCATCGCGCATGTTTCTGTGCGCGGATTCGAAGGTCATGCTTTCACCCCGAGGCAACTTGGGCGGGGTAGCTGGGAGGGAATCTCAGCTTTGTAACTCCACCTTGGAAACAAGACATTCATACCAACCCATCACAGCCCCATACCATCCTCTCGATGTTCCATAACCTCATCGTGTCTTCCCAAGATTCCCAAACACTCCCGTCGCTGATGCGCAACGCTTTTGCGAAATGCCAACGGTTGTTTTGACCAGGTGACGGCCCATCGATCTTGCGACTAACCGCGCATCATTTTCACACAGCCTTCTGGCTCTGAAGCTGCTTGCTAATCATTCCATAGCACCCTCAACACAAGACACAAACATCAATCGCAATGGCTGAAGCCGGAAAGAAGACTGCGTGGAGCGAGGAAGAAAAGGTAAGATATCTTCTCATTCACATATCCTTGAGATCATTGGACACGGAATTTTGACAGACACAGATGTCGCTCTTGCTGCAAATCATCAAGCAACAAGGTGGCGGAGAAAGCATGAAGGTGAAGTGGCAGGATATCCATCTCCCCGGACGTACTGCAAAGTCCATGACCCACGTATGGGCAAAGATTCGACAAGAAGCCGCTGCCTTTGACGCTGGCGAGAAAGTTCCCGTCACCCCTCGCAAGCGCAAGTGTAAGTATACAAGCCCCTCGGTTTTGTAATTATTACTGACGCGGCATTGCAGCTGCAAAGGATGATGAAGGTGGCACTCCTTCACCAACCAAAAAGAAGGCAACCCCTAAAGCCAAGGGCAAGAAGGGCGCAAAGAAGGACGAAGACAGCGACAATGATGGAGACGCAGATATGGCCGACCTTCATGATGGCTCAGGCGATGAAGTGAAGGCCGAGGACTCTGATGAACAATTGTGATTGGGTTGTTGGGGCTGTAAGTTGCCTTCATGCTTCGATTATCATCCTTTCTCATCCGCAATACATAGACTGACTTGTATCGAGCACTGCAGGGTTAGGATTGGTCTTCTTTCTCGACGATAATGACATATCATGAGCATAAGATTTCTCACCAGAGCTGCTATTGAGTTCTCGGTTTCTTGAAAAGGCTCATGGTTTTTTTTTCTTCGCAATCGGTCAAAATGGGTAATGACATTATGGATTTCATGGTTTTCATGGTTTTGTTGGAAGGACGAGTCTGGCTGTCTTTCGCAAAGGGAAGCTTCAAGGTTGTGAATATTTGAGGTCGTTGGGATGGGCGGAGGCGGCTTCTGCATACATACCTAGACTCGGTAGTTCTCCAATCGCAGGCCATATATGGTACAAGACTGACAGGGGTAAACGCCGATTCTCCGTGACCGTGCATTTCCATCGTATTGCGACGGCGACTGCGACTGCGACGGCGCCTCATTCTTTGCGCAACACCAGGACCAGGTCACAATCATCTGGTGACTGCTTGTAATTCTTCATCCCTTCACTTTCCCCTCCTATTATTCCTGATTTCTCCCGCCTCACCTGTCCAAATTTATCTTCCACACCCTCTCACTGGTCCTCCTCTGCCAATCCCCTTACGCTTCTTCATCCCGCCAATTGAGTAATCTGTCGGTCATCCTCCATGCTGATGCTGGATGAATAGAGCTCTCCATGCGCGACCGAGACACCACTCATTGACGTGCTTCTCCTACCTCCTCGCCACACATCGATTTACCTGCAGTCTTTCTCAGGCTGCTAGTAGAAGTCGAAGTCGAGGCCCAAGTCAAAGCCGAAGTCTTGCTTCCCTTCCCCTAAGATTCAAAGCTTCAACGACCACATTCCTTCTAAACCCCCTCGCGCAATTCACCAGTTCTTCGCATACTGCCACCATGAACGGCAGCAGTAATGGGGCAACCCCCTGCGCGAAGCGGAAGTCTACAAACGTCATTGCAGAGCGCCCTCAGAAACAACACCGCGCAATCAACGGCACAGAATCTGCTGGCGACAATACACCTGAACTTACAGCATTTGAAGAGGAAGATATGGAGATGGAGGAGCCCCGTCTAGTTACTGCCATAACAGATCGAGCCGACTCTGCAGAATGGCAGGCAGCAGTCGAGAAGGTTGTCAGAAATGTTGTCTCGATCCGATTCTGTCAGACATGTTCCTTTGATACTGATCCTGCGTTGACCAGTGAGGCGACTGGTTTTGTTGTGGATGCAGAAAGAGGGTAGGGGCAGATTTTTTTAAGCTTATTTGTTTCTTTTCTAACGACTTGCAGTCTCATCATGACCAACCGACATGTTGTAGGTTCAGGTCCATTCTGGGGATACCTCGTATTTGATAACCACGAGGAAGTCGATGCTTACCCTGTCTATCGCGATCCCGTCCATGATTTTGGCATCCTTCGATTCGACCCCAAAGCTATCAAATACATGCCTGTCGCTGCCTTGACCTTAAGACCCGACCTGGCGAAAGTTGGATCAGAAATCAGAGTTGTTGGTAATGACGCAGGGGAAAAATTAAGTATTCTTTCCGGTGTTATCAGCAGACTCGACAGAAATGCTCCAGAATATGGAGACGGATATTGCGATTTCAACACCAATTACATCCAAGCTGCTGCTGCAGCAAGCGGCGGTAGTTCTGGAAGTCCCGTAGTCAATATCGATGGGTACGCTGTTGCGCTGCAAGCTGGTGGCAGAAGTGACGGTGCGGCGACGGATTACTTCTTGCCTCTAGATCGACCACTACGAGCCCTGAAATGTATACAAGAAGGCAAGCCGGTCACTCGGGGAACAATTCAGTGCCAGTGGATGATTAAACCATTCGATGAATGTCGCAGGCTCGGTCTAACCCCTGAGTGGGAACGTGCTGTCCGGGAAGAATTCAGAAATGAAACAGGTATGCTCGTGGCTGAAATTGTTCTCCCTGCAGGTCCTTCAGACAAGAAGATCGAGGAAGGTGACGTCTTGATCAAAGTCAACGGGGAGCTTTTGACACAATTCGTTCGCCTTGACGATATTCTCGATTCCAGTGTAGGCGGAACTGTCAGTCTATTGGTACAACGTGGTGGTGAGGATATTAGTGTGCAAGTTGATGTTGGAGATCTGCATGCTATTACCCCAGATCGATTTGTTACTGTTGCTGGTGCAAGTTTCCATGATCTCTCATACCAGCAAGCCCGTTTGTATGCAGTAAAATGCGAGGGTGTATTTGTGTGTGAGGCAACAGGTTCATTCAGATTTGAGTCTACAGACAACGGTTGGATTATCCAAAAAGTTGATCATAAGCCTACCCCTGACTTGAATGCTTTCATCGAGGTAATGAAGGGCATCCCAGATCGCTCGAGAGTTGTCGTGAGCTACAAACACCTCAGAGACTTGCATACTTTGAATACAAGTGTCTTACACATCGATCGTCATTGGTCGAGTAAGATGAGACTGGCAGTTAGAAATGATGAGACTGGACTTTGGGATTTCACAGACCTTGCTGACCCCATTCCTGCAATCCCCCCAGTCCGACGCTCAGCGAGTTTCATGCAAATAGAGAATCCTCAACACCCAGCCGCCGCCGACATCGTTCGCAGTTTTGTCAAGGTTGTGTGCCACATGCCTGTCAAACTAGACGGCTACCCCCGAAATCGAAGATATGCAATGGGGGTGGTTATCGACGCCGAAAAGGGTCTGGTTGTGATCTCTCGCGCTGTGGTGCCCTATGATCTTTGCGACATTACCATCACCATTGCGGACTCTATTATCGTTGACGGTAAAGTCGTCTTTTTGCATCCACTTCAAAATTATGCTATCATTCAATACGACCCCTCCTTGGTTGATGCACCTGTCCAAAGTGCCAAATTGAGCACTACTCATATCACCCAGGGCGCTTCCACGTATTTTGTTGGTTTCAATCAGAATATGCGAGTGTCTATTGCGAAGACTATTGTTACCGACGTTACCGCTGTAGCAATCCCAGCAAATTCTGGAGCCCCGAGATATCGAGCAATCAATGTGGATGCCATTACTGTTGACACCAGTCTGAGTGGACAATGTGGGAGTGGTGCTTTGGTCGCTGATGATGGCACTGTTCAGGCTTTATGGTTGACATATCTTGGTGAAAGATCACCTGTCACTCAAAAGGATCAGGACTATCACCTTGGTCTTGCCACCCCTACTCTTTTACCCGTCATTAGAAAAATCCAGAATGGCGAAGTGCCCAAACTCCGTATGTTGAGTGTTGAATTCAACGCTATCCAGATTTCTCAAGCACGTATCATGGGCGTTTCCGAGGAGTGGCTCAAAAAGGTTACCCTTGATAATTCTTCCCGTCACCAGCTCTTTATGATCCGCAAACGGACTTTCGAGCGTGGAGAAAAATCGGGTTCCCTCATGGAAGGCGATGTTATTCTTACGCTCAACGGCAAGATTATCACTCGTGTGAGTGAACTTGATGTCATGTACGATCACGAAGTCCTGGATGCTGTCATTGTTCGTGAACGTCGTGAGATTACCATGAGGCTTCCTACTGTTTCTGCCAACGATCTTGAGACCGATCGAGCCATAAGCTTTTGTGGTGCAATCTTGCATCGACCCCATCATGCTGTTAGACAACAAATCAGCAAACTACACAGCGAAATCTACGTTTCAGCCCGAAGCCGTGGTAGTCCAGCATATCAATACGGATTGGCGCCTACAAACTTTATAACCCATGTCAATGGCAAGAAGACCCCAGATCTCGCGAGTTTCTTGAAGGCAGTCATTAACATTCCTGACAACACATGTTAGTATCCCCCGCTCCTCCAAACATTCATCTCATGCTACCATACTAACATAATCATTCCTAGACTTGAGACTGAAAGCTATGACTTTTGATAATGTGCCATGGGTCATCACGATGAAAAAGAACGAACACTACTTCCCCACGATGGAGTGGATCAAAGACCCGTCGGAGAAATGCGGTTGGAAACGAGTGACCTATGAACAAGGCCAGCCTATCAAAGGTGAGGGACATGATGGAATTAACATCATTCCCGAGGATCCTTTCGAAGGGGAGGAAGTCGCATGAAACGGAATGTAGGTCGCTACCAAATCCCTCGATCCAGTGGCGTCTTGGGGGGAAATCATAAGGGCCAGTTATCTATCTGGATAGGTACGTTTAGACTTGGCGTCACATAGAGCTGGCATTCGTTGGAGGATTCTTTGGTTTGCGAGATACCACTTACTGTAAAGCATCGTCTGCGTGGTAGATGAAGATAGGTGAAGCCGTTTCAGGCTGTAATTGTACACTTCGTTACCATACTCGTCGTCCTCGAGGCGAAAACTCTCAGTTGTGCCGCAAATGAGATGCCTGAACTGGAAGTAATTGTGGAATTTGTCGTTGCGATGGTGTTGCTACGATCGGGCATATCCGGAATTCGCTAAGTGGATGTATCCTTTCTAATGTTTTATTTCATCTGATTGTTGTGGCTGGATGTTAGTGCTTCCGCGTCCGAATCTCGCAAGGCTAAAATTGACGAGACAGCTGTCTGGACCCCAATCGGGGTATTCCATCCAGCATTCTACACAGGCTTCTTATATTCCATACTGTGCTATACAAGCTTTTCAGTCTCGCATCGCTTACATCATTCGCATCGCCTTTTCTACAGTAGACGATGTTTGGGGGCAATGGCTTCGCTTGGGAATCCTGGTCTGTTGACCTGGGCGCACTGTCTATACCATCTGTTGTCCACAATACGACGGTCACGGTTGTTACTAGGAACCCTAAATCACTCCCAAGAAAATGGCATGAGGAGGGCTATAGAGTTGCGGACATTGACAAGACACTTTCTAGCCACTCTTAAGACAGCTCTTTACAGGTGCTGGAGAAAGGTCTGATCGCGAGAAGCTGTCACGCATGGCAATCAAGGCTTTTAACCAGTAGGAGGTTGCATTTTGCAGTGTTCTGTACTTCATTTTCCCACCCACCTATTCAGATTTGCCACGGTATTCCCTTCAAGCCCCTTGCGTATGCGGCTAATGCAGGACTTGTATACAAGAATGCCTAGACCGATCGGGGTTTTACTATCGATCTATTTGCAGAGTCTTCCACTGTTCTCTTACTATCACGCTTTGATAGCGTTATTCTCTTGAGTTGTATCAATGACGTGCCGAGAAGTTGTCACTGCATAATACTTATCATCAAGATCTGTGACGAGTATATATTGCCTGAGACCCTGGACGCCAGTTTCTTATGGAAGAAACAGAACATCCAAAATTCATACAATAATCGGAACCTCAAATCGAAGACTCTTCATATTTCAAGATGAATGTTCTCCGTCGTCTTGGAAATCGCACTATGGTAGGATCTGATAAAGCCATCTCCCTTGCAACACCCCCCTCAGCCAGCAATAAAAAATCCGCCGTCCTGACCTTTTTCGCGGCCATTATTTCGTTTGTCCTTGGACTGGTGGTGATTATTTCGAACGCGCGTGCGAATAGTTTGAGGGATAATAGTATGGCTTCGGTATTTAACCCCTCTGATCTGCTTGTGGAGAGCTAGAGCTTGTTAACGAGGGTTGGATAGTTCAACATGTCAACGGTAGGCCAGGGTCTCATCAAAGTTTATCCCGCAAACGGATCGAATTCTGCTGGTGCGGGGGGTACCGGGGGAACGGCTGGGTTGGGGAGAAGGATGATGGGGAGTGGAGATATTGGTAGTCCGATTACCTTCCGGCAGCATAGAGCCAGAGAGGTGGAGGTTGAAGTTCGAGAAGTGGTGTCGAATACGGTTGGGAAGCAGGTCATGGGCAGAGAGGCATTACCTGCTCCAGATCCAACGCCGGCCCCTGATGCTAACGCAGGTATATTACCAAGTCCAGAGGAGGTGGAAGGATTCTTTCGATCCGCTGGCAATGCAGTGGCCACCAAAATCGTCCCCAATGCGCCGCTCGCGACGGGTGCTCCTATGGATGGAGCGTCAGGGGATCTCCTCAACGACATTGGAACTTTCTTCGGTGGTGTCCTCGGGAATCTCACGGGTGCCGTTGGAAATGGGCTTCAGCCAATCGCGGATTCGGCTATCCAGGGACTTCTGCGTGGTGCTGGGATACAGGAGTGGTATGGACTTTACTTGACTGAGTATTGTTCTGGGAACTGGTCACCAAGATACTCGGATCCCAATGCGAAGCTGCAAGTTACGACTTGTAAAAAATATAGTAAGTCTAACCCCTTTTCTTCGTTGTTGGAGCAGGGGATTGATAGTCGCCAGTGGATATCGACGCCCCAAGCAAAGTTATAAATTCCACCTTCCAAGTCGGTAACCAAATCATCGACATCGCGCCCTTAAACATAGTCAACAACCTCGCCTCCTTAACAGTCTATATAAGCGATATCCTAACGGCGCTCATCGTCCTTTTGAGTCTACACATCGTCTTCTCCGCTCTCATCATCTTCTCTATCCCGCTCTACCTCCTCCGCGCAGCCTTACGAACGGATCGCATCTCCTTGATCCTCGGAACCCTCATTTCCCTCGATGCCATCACCACTCAACTTGTCGCCGTCCTGGTCACGGTCCTTGGCATCGTCGCGACGCTTCTGGGGAACGATCTCCTCGGTGATCTGGGGGTGCAGGCTGGGAAGGGTGGGGAGGTTCTGGGGATGCTTTGGGTTAGTGCTGTGGTTATGACGGTTGGGGCGGTGAGTTGGTTTGTTAGTTTGTTTAGAAGGACTTCTGTTAGGAGGAGGAGGGTTGGGGTGATGCTTGGGGATTCTGGTGAGGGGGAGAAGAGTCGGGCAACCACGCGAGGGGTTGATGGGGATGAGGAGGCTTTGGGGGTTTTTTCTGGGCCGGTGGAGGGTACTGATGCGTCGGTGGAGAGGAGGTCTTGGCAGAGTTTGGATAGGGATGAGGTGAGGGTGCCGCGTTCACGGGCTGGCGAGGGGAACTCGACATCCTGGGTTTAATTGGTTGAATGAAGACTTGTATCTTTGAATCTTTTTACGTGCGAGCAATTGTTGAATTCCTTACAACTTTTTGCTGTATATCCCACACTATTCTAGCGGATCTATCATATTTGGAACCGTAAGGCACGTTGTACGAGTACCTCAAGTGCACGCACAATGTCCTCTCCTTTCGCTGGAATTATAGTTTAGATATCATACACTCTTCGACCTGTTTGTATAGCGCAAGATATCAATCTTAAGTATGCAGCGCAGCTGTTCCAACGAGTCAACGACATTTCTTCCATTCCAGCAAACCTCACAAGCCGAAACCAAAAAGACCAACCAAAATAGCCAACGCCAACACATTAAAATACTGCAGTATGAAAATCTGCAGTATCTCACGGCATAAGGGATGGGAATGGTGACGTCCCAATGTTTCAGCCTGCGTCCATTGGATCGCAAGCCCCAAGTCCAGGTTGTACGAATTCTTCGCCGTATAAACAAGGTTGCTTGCTTTGTTGGAAGGAAGTTTAAAAGAAAGAGGAATATGGCACTTACAGCTACAAGTTGAAATATTATAGTGTTGGTTTGAATTATCTAAATGGGTGGTGTAATAGACTTGTATTATCTATGATAAGTAAGTCCTGATGCTGCATGCCGAAGCATGCCGAAGCAAGTGTAACTAGCTAACAATCATTCACTATTATCAAGCGACACATAATTAAGATGACTTTTCTCAGTAGTGTTCCTGAGAAGTGGGGGAGCAAATCACGCGGCGGCAAGCGAAGGACCTCCTCAACACCAAAAAGTCTAAAAAGACCCCAAAACCATCGAAAACAATAGCAAAACCCCTGCTACCCGAAGGCTGCAGAACCTACAACCCGTGGATTGTAGTATAGGAAAACTCGCCCGAAGGTGGTTTATTTTAACGAGATACCGAAATGCCAAGTCTTAGGCTCTCCGTGAAGAGTCCGAAAAGAGACCTACTGGGGTTACCTCTAGGCCATTCCAACCCAACCGTAGTTGGGAAGGTACCATGACTTGCTTGTTTGCAGATATAAAGGTTGTGGGATGCATTAGGGGGCAGGGGATATGTCCAGGCAGAGCACGTGCCGGCTAATCTCAGGCAAACTTGGAAGACGTTTTGATAGACAATCACAGGCAACGCCACTTGTGGCAGATTCCGATTTTCAAGTTTAGTTTAAAGAAAGAGTATTCTTTTGTAAATATCCTTGAGCCCTTCGTATAATAACAGCCACTAAGCCTTTGTACCCATACATATAATATGTATCTTAAGTGTAGTAAGTCTTGCAAACGAAGTAAGTATACTCTTACACGTAATACACTTCTCCCAGATTCTCCCTCAACTTTCATTCACATATACCCAATAATGCCTCAATTCCGGTTGTCACTCTCAGCGAATATATAAGTGACTTAGGTTCGTGAAGACTATTCGCCCTGGTTACAAGTTAGAAACTCGAAGACACCATGTGTGAACCCAAATAATTATCTGTAAGATAATTATCAATCAATCAGTAAATTCCACTACTATTTGAAGCATTCTCTTAATCTACTATGATGTATAGGATTGATAAGGTCTCAAGAACCAGATCTTCTTGCAATGTCTTCGGAATATGTGAGTATATCACACAAGTAAACGCATTGCACATCCTTGTTATTTATTCAATGGTGAATCGATCATATGTCATTCCTTTCCCGTTTTCTTCCGAGTTCTTTGAGGGTGAATATGCGTGCCACGCACGAGTCTGTGGAATCGCTGCTGCCTTATTTCTCAACCGCATCGCCGTCGACCTCAACTTGAAATTTTTCAACAACCAAAACACATCAACACCGCACAATGAACCACAACGCGGTAAGATTCAAATATACTGTCTTTTGGAAGGGTATACATGCTAACAGGTTTCTCAACTATGTAGCCCCAACCAACGCGACGAGACGGTAGAGCACAACAAATGTCGCCAGCTCAGAATGGAGCCACTGAGGGACGATCGTTGAAGCGCGAGTTCTCCGAGAGCTCCGACAACATACAAATGAATAAAGTTCGTTCCGCAGGAGATGGTATTGGCAGGTACCTGGGAGTAGAAGACGAGTACGTAAAGCACTGCAACGTGACAACGGCTCGTATTCCCGACCTCATCTAGGCATAGAAACAAGAAGCCAAAACCTGCTGCCCCCGGAAATCACAACAGAAAAGGAGACTGGAAACAAGGTCTTGGATTGATACTGGCAAGCTGTAGCGGCCTCGCACTCACTCCTAGGGAGTTGATCGAGTAAGGCCTCAGTCTGAGAATCTCATAGAAAGCGACTAACACGACAACAGGTGTCAAGATTTGAAGACGGAATTCGATGCTCTCAAAGATTCCATGAAACAAAAAAGCCGAATTTCAAAGCGATTGGAAAATGAAATGAAACGGGGCTCATCTCAGATGAAGCTTATCTTCGACAAACATCGCGCCATCGTAGAACCAGCCAAAAAGCTTCGTGCCGAGCAAGACAAGAAGGCAGATGATGAGTTGATGAAAGCCGCAGCGGATTTGAGAGCCCAGGACGGGCGCCCAAAAGAAACCATTCTGGAGGGCGAGGAGGAAGGGGAGATTGTGATCAAGGAAGAGAAGCTTTGAGGATTGGCGAAGATACGTTTGCTTTGGGCAAGACAAACTACAGTGTATTTTTGATACTGTATCTAAGATCTACAAGGATCGCTCTTGATTAGACCGCATTCTACTTACATGGAGCAGTAGTAGAATACCAGAGCTGTGGAAAGATTTGTTCAGATACGTGGTGACTTGAATGAGACTTGAGATCCGTCAACAGTACTCCTATCTTGTCTTTCAGATTTGGCGTCTGGGATTCCATACCAAAACTTGAAGTCATGATATATGCATGTGGGCCACCGATTCTGGTTGATTGGATTTTATAATACATCAAGTAAAAACAGCCCGCCGTCCCCAATCCCCGTTCTTATAAACGCCACCTATCACCAAGTCCCTTAATAGCCCGAGAAAATCAGATTTATGAAGCAGCTCGTGACCCTTCAGCACCGAATGCCTGGCAGTAGCCTTTGAACTATTGAACAATCACAATTAGTGGCCATCTTTGAAGTAACGGGAGTATCCAAGCTGCACCCTCTCTTGACTGGGTGCTTGGAATTGAGAGAAGAAATATTTACCTCATTGCCACCGATGTGCTCTTCTTTGCTTTCGCAAAATTGGGTGTCAGGAGTGTCGAGGAATGTGCAATCGGGGCATGTATCGAATTTTTCAACACCGGTTCTTCGTACTTTGTATTCTGCGCAGGCCAATACGGTGGCATTTTTATCAAAGATTTGCTATGATGGCGTGTTAGTTATATTCTATTGAGGTTGGATTATGCTAGGTTGCATTGGGAGACTTACTTCTACTCCTCTTGGATCGCGAGTGTTGATGTTTGTGCAAATTGCCGCACTGTGCATGTTTGAGAGAACACTAATGATAGACGTCAGTCAAGTTCGATATCCAGTCCATTTGTTTTAGGGAAATTACCCGGTTGCCAAAGCCGCGGTCGCGAAGAGAGCTCGAGTTAGGAATTGCATGTTGGCAGTTGGAATGTGGAGGTTTGAGTATGATATTGCAAGTGAGATTTGTTGGATAAAAGAATGTAGTCTTCAATGAGAGTCTGAGAGAGGTGGTTGGAAGTGAGAGTGAAAGTGTGAGTGAGAGAGTGATGAGAAAATTCTAATCAATCCAGCAGGTTTATATACACCTTTCAACCTCCACAGGCCACAGTCTATAAGCATAAATTTAGAGTTTAACGCCAAGCATCGATCATACTCTATCATCCTGTTGAGTCTTCTGTGTCTCTTACTTAGAACCCCTTAGAAGTATGATCTTCCTAAGACGAACATCAGCCACAAAGAGAGCTTTTCATGGCAAACTCGGAATAGAATAGAATCTTAATCTTGGATACCAGTAGCAAGGAACGATGGCCCAGACTTACGAAGTATTTATGCAGGGCTATTTTCGAAGTAAAGTTCGAACTCGAGGCTACCGATCTCATCAATCTTCCTCTTGTTCTTTGTCATGCATTAACAGATCGGAGAATCTGTGCCAGCGTTGGGAAGAATGGCTATACTCTTTTCGTCTGTTCTAAAGCTATTTACGTTCTCTGTATACAGCTTGATATCCACGAAGTATGCGAGGTATTTCTGGAGCGAGCTTGTAAAGTGGGTCAACCCCAGACGTTTTGGGCTGAGTCTCTTGAAAGTGGATTTCTGTGCGAGAGCCAAGTCACCACCCTCATGCCGAAAACCGCCCTATGTATTTCCGGGTCCCAAACCGTCCACTCTACTTGCCGGGTTTCACAAGATCGATAAGAAGTATCAAAGCGGAGGATTACTAGTACTTCGTCCCAGCCTTCAGGCAAAATAGATGTAAATTCAATTCTTTCCAAGGGGATTTTACCCTATTGCCAACCTTGGCGATTCTAGAAAAGTTACATCCATTTCGCCTGGGACAAAGCACTTGGCTTCTTGTAGAAACGCTGGGTTGCGGAGCTGCTTCATCGTCAAAGAATGGGACGAGAACAAGGCTTTGGCACGATGAGTATTCCCTTCGAGAAAACTAGGTAAGGTTATTATTCATACTGGTGGGGTAGAATCCAAGTATGGGTGTCTACACTCAGACTCTAGGGATTTCCTCCATGCCACACAGGTTCGTCGCTATGATCTACTCTGCATGTTCACTGAAATTTGAATAAACTCTATATGAAGAAGGCTCGTTATTTTCATGTCACCATGTGTGGTGCCAGGGTTAGATCATCGTGCCATGTGACACGTGCCAAGTGATACTGTACTCAGGAAAGTGGGCCAGGGGCTCGCTTAATTTAGATGTGCTAAAAACGGTACCTAACTAGCGTTGCCACTGCAATAACATTTTATTTGGCTGGGCTCCATAGTACAGCATCTGAATAACCCAGTGATATTTTCGTCGTACTTTAAAGAGGGTGGACAGCTAAGAGTCTGC